GGATTTCCTCACTTATGATGGCCTGTCCCAGTGATGCACCTATTCAGAAGCTTCAGGGCTACTTACTATTCTGAAGAAAATACAACTCTCAACAATTTAGGCTTCATTCCAGTATCTAGTGGAGAATAGATATCCTCTCTGGTTGGGAAGATGCCTGAATGATTAGAGATCATAGAATCATAGAATAATTTAGGTTGGAAAAGACCTTTAAGATCATCAAGTCCAACTGTTACCCTAACCCTGCCATCCCACCACTAAACCATGTCCCTAAGCACCTCATCTGCCTGGCTTTTAAATACCTCCAGGGATCGGGACTCAACACCTTTCTTGGGCAGCCTGTTCCAGTGCTTGATCCTTCACAGCTCCTCCATGACTGACAACATTTGACTCTTTTTCTCCACTCTCTTCTTACCCAGGTCCCGTTTGCTCTTCATTTCTTAACTCCTCACTCCAGTCCTATTCCCGGGCAGTCCCAAGCTTTAATTCCTACAGTCCTCATGCCAAGGCCAAAACAGTCTGAAAACTGTAATGTCTAAAAGTGTTATATCTACAGCCGCCAAGTGCGGAGTCTCATATACATGGAAGGCTTTAACAATGCAGTTGTGTTGCACCACAAGGATGGATGAGAGGATTGATCTACTCAGACCATCACCATGATAAATCTTCCACTGACGACGATGTTTGTTCTTCCCGAATGCCAGACACACCGTGCACAGAATAGAAATGTAAAGGCAATGCAGGGTATGTTGTACAAAATGAGATATCCTGGGGCACATAATGAGATAACATCTATTACCATAAATTATGAAGTGATTTACGCATAAATGAGGGTTGTCATGAAATTTAATTTTAATGGTTTGATAATCAAGTAAGAAACACAATAATTAACATACCGAAGTTTTTCAATAAATTAAAATCACTGCTAGTGGCAACACTTTTTTCTTAACATACATAATACAGTTCCCCTCCCAGAGCTGTCTGCTATATTCTTCTATTTCAGAACAACCTGTTGAATGCCACATCACTCTGATAAACAAGTTCAGTTTTCCTGCTG